GNGGGGAGTGGGTGTGTGTGTGGGGGGGGGGGGTACGAGGCGGTAGAAACCCCAACCCGGCCCCGACTCAGGTGCACGCGACAGAGAGGGAGGGAGTGAGCCGAAGGAGGTGCCAAGTAGAGACAGACATGGCTATCCCGAAGAGCCAGTGCTACAGCTACTGCTACTGCTACTGCTACTGCTACTGCTACTGCTACTGCTACTGCTACTGCTACTGCTACTGCTACTGCTACTGCTACTGCTACTGCTACTGCTACTGCTACTGCTACTGCTACTGCGGGGCGTCCAAGCATAGGTCGCTGGAGAAGTCGGCGCCGCACGCACCCGGAGTCCCGTGTTGGGCGGGATGGGGCTGTGTGTTGTGCATGCACGTACCGTTGGCACTACCGAGCAAACCCTTCCGGTGCTGGTCCTGACTTTAAATAGGGATGTGCCGACGTAGTCGACGTGGGCGAGACGTCGTACGCAGCCGTACTGGTGGACGACATTGACGGCGACGGCGCGTTGGAGCTGGTGGCCACCACCATGAACGGCAACGTGTACGCCTTCGAGACGGGGTCACCGTACCACCCGCTTAAGACGTGGACTTCGCAGGTAGGTCGGATGGGGGTGAATGTGTGTGTATGTGTATGTGTGTGTGTGATGGGGGGGAGAGGGGGGAAATCATGTGATACAAAGAAACTCCAGAATTTGAAACTGCTAAAGTCCAAAGCGATGAAGTCACTGGCCCATGGTTCCGGAAACAAAGCTCATTACGTTATCGATATTTTTTGTGATGGGAGCTGTTTTATGGTCTCGAAAAGGGGCAGGGGGGAAATGGTGGTGGTGGTGGGAAATGCGGAGGGATGCGAGGGGGGGGGATACGCGGGTATGCGGGTGAACGCGGGGTGAGATGGGTCGGGGTCGGAGCTGTGTGGAACGTCGTTCATGGCCGACTGGATTTCGTCAAGAACATCGAGGGAGGAATCTCCAAATCACGTTTACCAACCGCCAACTGTCGATGTGCAGGTGATGGGCCCCAACGGTCAGGTGGCCCGGTACGGCTATGCGGGGATCTTCGCCACCCCCTCCAGCAGGCGGCCCAGGGACGTGGCCGGGGAGAGGCTGCAGGTGTGTATGTATATATGTATGTATGCATATATGCGTGTATGTAAGTATGTGTATGAATGTATATGCTTAAATGAACTGAACTGCCTAGCCCCCATTGTAGAACTGCTGCTACCCACCTGCTACTGCTACCCCCCGGTACTGCCGCTCACCCACCTGCTACTGCTACTAAGCTACTGCCCGCCCCCGGCCCCTCCTCCGAATCCGTCCGCAGGTCCAGTTCGAGGTGGTGGACAAGAGGGTGGCCTTCGCGGACAACGGCACTCTGCTACCGGGGGGCAGGGGGCCGTACAACGTAACGGTGGTGCTCAAGGTAGGGGGGGAGAGGGGAGGGAGCCCATGCCCGTGAGCGTGTGCGTACTGTCCTGTGCTGCTTGGGGGCTGGGGCCGGGGGCCTTTGGGGGCCGGAGTGTTGGGGATGTTTTTCTTGAGGGGAAAAAGATTGGTTGGTCAATTTATTTGTGCGTGTGTGTGAGAGAAGATCTTTTTTCGGGGGGTTCTACGAGTGGTAGTCCAGACGGCGGTGCATCACGCACACAGCTTTGAGTGTGTTGGTTTGCAAGTGGATATGAAAGGAATCACCATCTTTGTTTTGAGGAACAGAAATGGTTTTAGGGTCAATAACAACTGGCGCAATAACAAATTGCCGTTAAGCCTGTCTTCCTTCTGCCTGTAACCCATGGAGGTGCCGTGTGTCTGTGTGTCTGTGTGTGGGGGGGGGGTAGTGGGGTAGTGGGGGTCCTACACCCCCTCCCTTTCGGTGGATTACTCCCCGCCCACCCGTCAATGCCTTTGTCCCCCCTTCCTCGATTCCCTACCCACCTACCCACCCACCTCTTTGCGTTTTGCGTTACAATTCTCCCCCGCCCCGTTCCAACCCCCCTCCCTGACCCTCCCAGGGTGTGGGGGTGCGGGAGATGGCAGCTGGCGAGGCCCCGGTGGTGGGGGTGGCGGACTCCTTTCCCGGCCCTGGCCGCTACTCCGTGGATATCCCCTGCCCCAAGACACAGGTACAGGGGAGGGGGGCAGTGGCTGGTATGGATGCTGGTGCCGGTGGTGCGGGTGGAGGTGGGCGATGCTGGTGGCTGTGGGGATAGTACTTAGGGTGGTTATCGCGGCCGTGGTGGGGTGGCGCTTGGGGTGTGTGTGTTGGGACCGGCGGATTATCACTGCTGGTGCCTTTACCCTCCACAATTGCCTGACAGACCGTCCTAGAGCCGACGCCCTGTTGGTCCGGACCGTTTAGGTGTTTTTGAGTTTGATTCAGTTGGTATTTGCCCTTCCTGCACAGCCCTCCTTCACACCCTTCGGACACATACAGCCGTATCACTTACAAACGTTTCTATCCCTTCCTGTCGTCCACCAGTCGACCGGCGGCGGTTCCCGTTCTCTTAGGGGACCCTCTCTCCTCTTCACACCACAACGCCGGCCGTGGGCGTTTTCCTCCGGACTTCCCAACCCGCCACCCATCACCCACCCAACCCCCCAGCAGTCTTCGATTGGCTTCTCCGTTGTGTATAGAACCTCCTGCATCACCAATCCAAATCTGGTTCATATATCCAAATCCAAGGTTAAAATTCGCTTTTCAAATTCAAATGTTCAAATTACTTCGCTTCAGGCCTCCGCGGTTGTGCGGTTGGAGCTGGTGGACGGTTCTGGGCTGCTGTACTCGGACGAGTTCGCGCTGTCCTTCCACATGCACTTCCACCGGCTGCTGAAGTGGGTCATTGCGCTGCCGCTGGGGCTGATGATGGCGGTGCTGCTGGCGGTGTCGGGACCGCAGCGCTCTCACGCTGCGTGAACACGAAAAATGCAAAAGTGAAAGCGAAAGCGAAAGCTAGGACGTGAGGCATGGCGCGTGGGTGTGCACGTAGGCGTGATGTATCGCAGGTGGGCATGTGGGGTGAGGAGAGGTTTCATGCGGGTGTGGGGGCTGGTGGGTAGGATGGGCGAGCAGGGTGAGGGGTGTTGGGGAAGACAAAAATGGTTGGGTGTTGTTGGCTGGGTGAGCTGACCGGGAGTACTGGTTGCATGGAGTGGGGTTGGGGAGCATGGGTGAGCTTGGGGAAAGAGTATGAGGGGGGCTTAGGTTAGTGTGTGTGGATGTTACACTGGGCCCCAGACTCGTGAAGAGTAGAGCCAGGGGGCCAGCGGGCCGTACAATGCAGGTTAGTGCTGCAGATCAGGAATAGACGGGCAAGTACGGCAAAAGTTGGCGATCGGTGAGGGGCTTATAGGTACCAGGAGTCTCCTGAGGTTGGCTGCGATCTCTTTCAGCATGCTGTAGCAAAGTGTTATTTGCTCTTCCTTGCGCTTGCTGTATGTTCGCCAAAACGTGATATTGGATGTGCGGAGACGAATTTTCTTGTGGTATGTGTGATGCTGTCTGACTTCTTTTTATACACTGAAGTCATCTCGTGCGTCACCTTTCTCACTTCCTGGGCAGAATCCGGTCATTAGCCTGGTTAAAGTTGTTGACAACAGTATCACCAACACATCGAACTGCTATACAGGCAGCAAAGCGTCTGTGCACTTGGTTGCAAGAACATCTGCCATACGATGACCACACCACCACCACCACCACCACCGCAGCGGTCAATCCCCAGCCTAACTAGTCCACGACGGAAATGCAACAGCGAGCAACACAATGATGAGTGGCTATGCTTGGTGAAATAAACAGCCCTGCCATGGCAACCTAGAGTGCCGTGTCGCTTTTCCCTGACCGCGGCGCAGGGGCCACAACGTCGCACACTGGTACACCAGCGGGGGGTACGCACTCAACCACACACACAACATACACGCTCAAAGCCCTTAACAAGAGACCCCCCTCGCTCCCTTGAGACATGGGCGCTGTCCCAGTCCACCTTCTGCAGCTGTTCTTTCCCCCGCTCCACTCAGAGCTAGGTGCCGTTACGGGGCCGCATGGCAAGTGGCCGCACCCCCCAATTGGGGCCTCCACCGTTAAAAAGAGGCCGCTGAACAAACAACGCAATGAGGACCTCCCTACCCCCCAAGAGGCCCTCAGGGCCCAACAACGCCTCTTTACACTCCACACGAAACGCGGTCTACGGTGAGGATATCCGCAACGAAGAGGACACACGCAGGCAGGCCCACATCGTACATTCCTCCAGACAATAGAGGCCACCCACCCGCACACTCGCTCACCGCAGGTATAGCACCCGGGGCATCTAGTGCCGTACATACAAGAGTCCCACCCGAATACACACGTCCCCTATCGCCGATCTCAAACCTACACCCCTTCGCATCCATTCCTGTCCCCGCCCTTCTTGCCCACAGCCTTTCTCACGGCCTTGTCACCTTCGAGTGTCTGCCGTACCGGAATGGTACAGCAGGGCCGCACACATCTCTTGCGCCCCGATTTCCATGGCATCAGCCGCCTTTAACCTCCATCCGCCCCGCCAGCCCCCTCAGAACAAACCAGGCCGGCTTGACGTTACGTCCCGGGTCACACCTAGCCACGTATGTCACCATTCTGCCACTATCATATTCTAAATCGGAGTCAGGTTCCAGTACAGGATGAGGCCATCCCTGGATTTGGTGCAACACCCCACACCTACCAGGATAACCACATGCAGGTAGCCGCTTCCTAGACCCCTTCCCGGGCAGCACCCGCCCTCCGCCACAGTGAGCTCTCCCTAAACCACTCTCCGCACCCTCTCCCCCCACTCCCCCTCCCCCCGGCCTCTCCGCCGCACTCCACTTCCTGCGCATACACACCCCATTAGCTCGCGAGTGTCTGCGGAGCACTGACAGGGCCGTGGCGGCGGCGGGCCCCCGTTGGCGCTACTGCTACTGCTGCTACTGCTGAGGTCGCATTGACCGACTCGGGCCCGGGGGTGGTAGTGGTGGTGGTGGTGTGGAAGAGGTGGCAGCGGTCGTCAACCTCACTGCGGAGGTGGAGGTGGCGGCGGCGGCGGCTGACCTGCACTCCGTCAGCCACTCAGCCCAGACCGGGGGCAGGCGCCAGCCCAGAGACTCCAGGGAAGCCGACAGAGCTGCCAACCGGTGGGCCTCCAATGCGGGCAGCTCCGAAACCAACCTGACGAGTGTGGGGGTGTTTGTGTGCGCGTGAAAGGGAGGAAAATCAATCGCCACTAAACTGGAAACAGGAAGAAAGGGGAGGAGAGGCTAGCATGATGGCGGTTGTGTCGGGGGGTTTAGGGAGACGACAAGGGACACAGGTGCCATCTCCTAGGAGCCTTCAGGAGCGTCCACATACACACCAGTATCACCAGTATCAAACACACATACATACATACGCACACACCTGCGCAGTACAAGTGCCTGCGTCCGGGCATCCACCCGCCAGCGCAAAGCCGCCCAGGCGGACAGCACCGCGCACAGCTCCGCAACCGGGGCGCTCACGATGTCGTACACGGAGATGCTCCGAGACCATGCCTTACACCACTCGGTAAATGCAGCAGACCGCGGGAATCGGCCCCCGGCCGAACCAGGACCAGAGGACGCCGCCTGCCGCTGCAACTGCTGCTGCCGCTGTTGTAGTTCCGAACCCGCTACAGCCACCGGGATATCACCAAGGTCTTCTTCGCCACCGCCACCGCCTCCGCCACCGCCGCGAGCCGCCTTGGCCTCCTGGTCGGGGGCTCGCGTGGGCAGCAGCGGACCGCCGGGGCCCCTTTCTTTGCAGTCCACCACATCACCACCGCCAGGGGACGACGTGGCTACCCTCGTGGAAGGAGCCATGCTGCTGCTGCCGGTGCTACTGCTATTGGTGCTATTGGTACCACAGGAGGCTGCAGATGGGGCTGAGTCCAGAGCATGCAACGACGCGGCCCACCTCCCAACCAGCTCGCCGCCCTCCGCCTCGCCCTCCACCTTCTCCTCGCCTCCGCCGTCGCACGCCATCACCCCCAAAGCCCAGCCCAATACCGCCAGATCCCGCAGCCCCAGCCGCCGCTGCCGCATCAGTGCCGTGCAACGCGCCAGGAGGGCTTCCACGAGCTCTGCCCTGATCGCCGCCACCGCCAGCGCCGCCGCCGAGGCTGGCGCCGCCGCCGCTGCTGTGTTACTATCCTTGCCACCACCGCCATTGCCATCGCCGGAAGAACAAGAAGCGCGCATCAACGCTCGCCGCTGCGCCGCCGGACTCGGGAAGCCAAAGGACCGCTGCTGCAGCCTCGCCAGGGCTACTGCCAGTGGCACCAGCTTGGAGTCGGGGACTCCAGGGAGAGCGGGGCCCTGCCAAGTAGCTGGTGGCGGGCCTGGTTCCGGAGCGTGCTCCGCAGGTTTATTTGCCGTACAGGAGGGCGACGTCCCTGGAGGGGTAACGAAGGTTGTGACGTCGGCGGCAGCAGGAGCGGCGGCCTCACATCCGCTGGAGCTCCTGACGCCGGGTCCTCCGCTGACTGCCGTACAATGTACGGCTCTGGCGTGGCCGGCAGCAGCGACGGCTTCGACGTCAGCTACGGTAGTGAATGTGGGGTTTGCAGCGGCGGTGGCCGAAGCAACCGCAGCAGCAGCTTCCGCATGCGCCTGGGGATAGCTTGTGTGGGTTCGCAGTAGGCCGGCGTGGATGCGGGCCAGCTCCAACCTGTGGGGCCTTATGCGCAGCCTGGACGCCGCCGTCGCCACCACGACTATGTCTTCTGCCGTACACGTAGCCGCGGCTGCCCCCTCCTCACTGTGACGCCGCTTCCCCTCCTGATGAGCTGCGGCGCCCGGTCCCGCCCCCGCCCCCGCCACTTGCTGCTGCTGCTGTCGTAGAAGGCTACAGCCGACGTGTACCGCCGCCGCCGCGGCGGTGCCAGCTGCGTGACCCGTACGACTGGTGGATAGTAGGTCCAGCGGCGGCAGCAGCCCAATGAACCGCCGCCAGCCGGACCACGCGGGGCCAGAGGCCGCTGAAGTGGGGGCAGCGGAGGCATCCCTGGCGGTGAAGGAACTCATCGGTGGAGCTCCGGCGCCAGCGGCAGCGACGGCAACGGCCCCGGCGGAGGAGGGCGGCGCTCGTACAGGTGCTTTACCACTGCTGCTGCTGCTGCTGCTGAGGACCTGAGGATCCGGGCGGGAAGAGACCCGTGGGTCAATTCCGCCATGCGCAATCCCGTACCTGCCGGCTCTGCTACTTAGACTGGTGCTACTGCCACGATTGCTACTGCTGGTGGTTCCACTGCCGCTGGTATCGCTACTGCTGCTACTGCTACAGCTATTGATGCTACTGCCGCTGTTGTTGCCGGTACTGCGGCTGCTACTCCTCCTGCTGCTTTGTATGCTGTCATGCAAGCTACTGTCGCTGGTAGCGCTACTGCTGTCTGCGCACGTGCTGCTGCTACTGCCCTCATTCCTACTACGACTGCTGCTGCTGCTGCCGTTATTGCCATTGCCATTACCGTTTCGACCGTATCTGACCACCTCGCGACGATCATCTCCTGCTGCCGCTTCTCTTCCGGCTTCCGTATGGACCGACGTTCCTTCCACAACATTATCACCACCACCACCACCATGGGCTGATGCAGATGCCGCTGTTCGCCGGAGGCCGCCTCCTTGCTGCCGCCGAAGACCCCCTGCCGCCGCCGCCGCCACCGCCGAACGAAGCGGTATCGGCCAGCGCCTCACCCGCACCCGCGCCCTCGCCAGAGCTATCAGGGTCCGCGCGGCGACAGCCCCGGCCTCGTCACTCAACCGCCGCCTCTTCCTCACCACCGCCGATGTCTCCACCGCTGCCGTATGGGCAGCAACCCTAGCCGCCGGAGTCCCGCCTCCTCCGCGGGCCCCTGTGATAGCGGTGGTGGTTGCCGCGCGCCGCAGTGTGAGGGAGGCCAGGGGCCCAAGCAGACGCCGCAGCTCCCGACGAGTGGAGACCAGCTGCAACACGTTGGCAAGGCCCTGTGTGGTCGTAGTAGGGGTTTTGGGGGGTTTTAGGGGGTTTGGATGGGGGGATGCGACGCGAAGCAAAACGTTCGTTCGGGTTAGGAGTCGGTCGGTCGGTCCGTCCGTCGGTCGGTTGGGAGGGGTTTAGCCGCACGTGCGCGAGTAGATGTTAAGGGGCGGTTGGGGGGTTGCGGGGAGGGGGTGGCGGTTACGTATCTTACGCAGGAGGGAAGGTCCTGTGGGAAGGTGGGGGGGAAGCTAGGAAGGCTCGGAACAAAACACCTTTCTCGCCATTTCCTGATCCTCTTGCCAAGGGACCCCAGTGTCACTTCATTTCTTGGATTATGTCATACGGGGTATCATCATGCCCATTGATGCCCATGCCTCCCCTCCCCTCCCCTCCCCTTCCGTCCGTAAGGCTTCACTGTGAAAAACGCACCACGATCGCAATCCTGCCATCAACCGCCACTTCACCACCGCGCATGGCCCCCCAGTCCCAAGTCCCAGCGGCCCCAACCCCAAAGCTTTGTATGTCGGCAGTTTTATTTCCCTGTTCCAGTGCACTGTATAACCCCATCTCTTCCACTCACACAACATACATACACACACACACAGATACCTGTGCAGAAAAGTCGCCAGGTCGACGAACTGCGAGTTTCGCCCACTGGTGCACCAGAGCCGGTGGCGGCTCCCAGCCCAATCGAAAACACGCCCAACTGATAACGGCAACGTCAGTTGCGGTTGGCCGCATGAGAACCATCGGGGCCGAGGCTGAGGCTGATTCTGAGGCCAGGCGCATGCCGCTCCGTGACCCGTACAGCTGCTGCCCCTGCTCCCCTCCCCGCGCCAGTCCCCCTTCTGGCTCCGCCTCCGCCTCCATCTGCCTCTGACGTCTCCCATACAGCCCTCGCCTGCCGCCGCCGACGCTGACGCTGACGCTACTGCTACTACCCGGGCTACGGCTATTGCCACTACTTCCAGTGCTGCTGCTGCTACTGCTGCTGCTACTGCTCGGACCAGTGCGCCTCCTGAGGCCGCCCCCAGCCGTGACTGCATGTCGTACACCTGACCCTGCGGCCCCGTCTACCCTCACGCAGAGCTCTGCAGCCGCTGCTACTGCTGCTGCCGCAGGGAGGTCGTCGCGGCTCAACTGCTGCCAGCGCTGCAGTACACATCTGCCCAGCTGTGCCACGCGATCCATTTGGGGAAGCCACGACGGGCTCGATGCAGTGGGTGCGGGTGCGGCTGCGGGTGTGGGGGGAGGAAGGGCCCGGAGAGGGCCGCCGGGAGGAGGGGGCTGCGCCGGTGTCCATGCCCATGCAGCTCCCGTGTCTCGTGCAGCTGCCCGACCGGCAACCGCCCCTGGCCCAGCGCCTCCAGGCCGCGATTGCCTTGGGCCCGGTACCGGGTGCTGCGGGGGCTGCTGTTGCCGCGGGTCGTCGTAACGGTGGGGGGAATGGTGCTGGTGCGGGTACTGGTAGAGGTGGTGCTGTTGTTGCTGGTGTTGGTGGCGGTGGTGGTGCTGCTGCTGCTCGCGGTTGTCAGGGGGAGGCCAAGCTTGGGCCTGTGGCTGCTGTTGGTGCTGGTCGCCATGATGAGGATGGCGGGACGTCTCCGGGGAGTTGACTTGGGACCAGAGCTGCTGGTGCTGCTGCTCCCGCAAAAGAGGCAGCAGAAGCGACTGTGAGTTCTGGTGCCACCGCCAATCCTGAGGGCTGTGCAAGGCGTGCTGCTGCTGCTGGTGCTGTTGCTGCTGAAGAGGGCTGGGGAGCAGCGGCGAAGGAATCGGAAATGACGCCCCGGCTGTACGTCGGGCTGGCGGCCTCGGCGGGTGGCGCCGTTGCCGCTCCTCCCACCAGCTGCTGCTGCTGCTTCCGTCTCCGTCTCCGCCGCAGCGGCTGCTGCTGGTGTTGGTGCTGCTGCCGCATTCCTCAGCGCCCTGCCCAACGCTCATCTCAGCGCCCTCCAACCCCATGGCGATCTCGCCGTCAATTTGGGAACCGGAACCGAATAGGGCGCTCCTGGGTGAGGACGGGGTTTGGCAGCTCCAGGGTGGTGTTGACAGCTGCTGCTGCTGCTGCTGCTGAGGTGGCTGTAGCACGGCGTGGATGGTAACCGGAATGGGAGTGGGCCCAGCGGGCGGCTGCTGCTGCCGCTGCTGCTGCGGCAGCGGTGGCGGCTCTTGTGGCGATGTATGGTAGCCGGTGGGTCGCGCAGGCCGGGCGGTAAGCAACACCAGCTCCGCCCGCTTCGCCGATATCGGCAGCGGCTGCTGCTGCTGCTGCGGCTCGGCCCTCGCCACGTCATCCCACCTAGCCGTCGGGTCCACGTCCCAGTTCCATTCCACCTCCGCCAGCTCCTGCTCTTGCTGCTGCTGGCCCGGTACCAGCAGCGTCGCCGACTTAGGAAAGGTCCCTGTCTCAAGGCTGGCTGCTGCTGTCTCGCCGCCAGCTTCCGTCGACTTGCCCGATACCAAGCCCACCACGGCACCACCAGCCTTAGCCTCGGTCCCAGTCCCAGTCATGTTCTCCGCGCTCCCTCCTCCACATTGCCGCCGTCCAGCCGAACCGGCCGTGGCGGCACTTACAGCAATTGCAGCAGTGGAGGCGGAAACCAAGCCGCCAGAGGACGGAGCAGCGGGCTTCGATACGGGCCTCGAACTCGCTAGGGCGGTCGCGCGAAGGCCCCAGATCGATTCCTGCAGCCGGCACACCGCCCAAGAGAGCTGCGCCAGGTCCCGCAGCGAATCCAGCTGCGGGGCCTTTCGAATGGCCGCTCGGGTTAGCAGCGCCAGCAGCTCCGAAACCTCCGCTCTATCGACCTCTGCGTCAGTAGGAGAATGTGGTAACGGAGGTTTTGGAGCTGCCTGCTGCCCAGCCGCGACTGCGGCTGTAGCTGTGACTGAATCTGCCGTCCCCGGCGCTGCCCTCCCTTTCAACGGAATCAGCCAGGGCTGTAGCCGCGCCAGGCCCCACGCGACCTGCACCAGCGCTACTGGGTAGATATGTGGCAGCTGGATGAAAAGTCGGGACCGTATTTGCGCAGCCCAGCTGGCGGGTGGCGACGGCGGCGACAGCGACGCCGCTGCATGGAGCGGTGTACGGCGGCTACGCCGTCGTCGGCAGCCCTGCCGCCGTTGCCGCAGCTGTACGAGTGCCCACAGCACCACCGTCAGCCCGCGGGGACCCAGCGAGCCCACATGCCGCTCCGAAACCAGAAACCAGGTAGCCAGCCACGAGGATGCGCAGGTGGTGGTGGTGGTTTCGGAACACCCTGTGAGGTTGTTGTTGTTGTTGGTGGTGGTGGTGGTGGTGCTGCTGGTGAAGTTGCTTTGGAATGAATCAGCGCCGTCCTCAGACGATACCGGATCCTCATACAAAGATCTTGGATCCAGTTTGACCATGCCGTACAAAAGAGCAGTCAGCTCCTGATCGCTGAAGCAGTGCCAGTGGGCGGCGCAGGCTGCCTGCAGCGCCGCAGCAGCGGCACTGCGGGAGAAGGAGGGCGGCAGACCTGCAGGAAGCGGTGACAGCGACGAAGAGAAGGGGGCCGCCTCCGCCAGCTGTTGCTGCGGCTGCTGCAGCCGCCGTCGCCAGCGCCGCTGCCGTACAGATCGGGGAGTCCCCAGAATAAGGGGCGCAAGTATCGCAAGGGCGCAGGTGACGTTGCTGATCTCCCAAGCCGTCAGATCTCCCAGATGGCGCGTCAAAACTAGCTCCGCCAGCTCCGCCGCCAGCTCCGCTGGGCTGCCGTACACATGCGTCGGCTCCGCCTCCACTGCCGCCGCCGTCCCAGTTCCCGCGTACCCTTCCTCATGCCGTACAAAACCCGGCTCATTCTTCACATAACCCAGATCCAGATCGAGATCCAAGCCCGGATCATCCGAGTCCCATTCGCCGTCATCGTCTCGCGCCAGCCGATTCCGCTGCTGCTGCTGCCCCTCTTGCCACCGCACCCGCAGCAGCCGCTGTACCCGCTGTTTGCCACTCCCAGCTCCCGAGACCCCGCCCGCGCCATCTCCTCCGCCTCCTCCAGCTGCTGCCGCTGCTGCTGTTGTGCTCCCGCTCCTCCCGCTCGTGCTGGTCCCGCTCCTGGTCACGCCACCGCTCCTCCCCTTCCTCCGGCCCCTCACCATCCTGGCCAGCACCCCCAGTGCGGCTGCCAGGTTGGTGCTAGTGAGGGGGCCTGGCTCCTGAGGTGAGCCGGGGGACCGCACCAGCAACTGCGCCAGCTCCTGTCGGGAGGGTGGGGGGCGGAGGGGGGAGGGGTAAGAGGCTGCGAAGGTTCAGGTGCGTGCGTGTGTGTTTGTGTGTGTGTGTGTGTGAGCAAAAGGAGGGGAGAGGAGGGTGTGTGTGTGTGAACAAAAGGAGGGGAGAGGAGGGTCGTTGGATTCTTCATGACGATGGTAAGGGCCGGCGGCCAACCAACACACCACCGCCACTATCACTGCCACATCTGACCGCCCCACGCGCACAATTCAAAATCCGTCCTCTCTCTCGTCTCTCTCTCCCCCTCCTTTTATCGTACACACACACACACACATGCACACACGCATACACAGTCTGCTAGGCACATTTTGATGGTTCCAGCTCATCCGGGCTTCCCGCGCCTCACCGTCGGTGCATCACCTGGCTCATATTCCATCACCCCACATTTCCCTCCTCCCTCGTCCCCCCCATCCTGCCCTTTTCACCACCCCCCTGTTCACCTCTTCCCTTCCCTGGGTCGCATTTCATCATTCAACCTCCCCACTCCCCTTCCTTCCCCCACGTGTACCTGCCAGGTGCTACAGCCCACAATGGCCCGGGTTAGGGCCGCCGCACTCAGTGGCGGCAGCGGCAGCGGCGGCGGCGGCGGCAGCGGAAGATGAGCAGGAGAGGGAGCTTCCGATGGGGAGGAACACGAAGGAGGAGAAGGGGTGTGTGGAGCGGCACAAGAAGAAGAAGAAGAAGAAGAAGAAGAAGAAGAAGGAAAAGAAGGCGAGGCAGGAGCTGGCGGCGGCGGCTGCGGTTTTCCAGCAGCAGCAGCAGCCGCTCTTCCCGGAGCGGATTGGCCGCCGCTGTAGCTGGCGGGTGGTGGCGGAGGCACCACCCGGGTTGCCCGAACGGCTTGTACGGACGGCTTCTGGGAAACGGTCTCGGCATTGCGACGACGATGGTTGCGGTGTGCTGATGTGCAACGACGTGATGCAACAGAGCCGCCACCTCCGCCGCCGCTAGTACTACAACAACTGCTAGTAATACTATTGCCGTACGACGTACTGGTTTCGCCCTGACTTCGGAGAACCGACGACGTCGCCGGCGACGCTGTCTCCCTTTCCAGAGGGCCGCCCTCCATTTCGCCGGTCACCGTTCGCATGAGGAGCGGGAGCGGGAGGGCAGAAACGGCAGCGACTTTCGTTGCCGCTGGCGTCGCCATCGCTATCACCGGACTGCTCTTGTCGAGGACGTCCGACTGAGGGCCATCAGCGGCGGCGGGCTGTAGTGCCGGAGAGTGCGCCGCCGCCGCCGCCGCCACTGATGGTGCCGCCGTCGGGGGAGCTGTCGACGACTCATCCTCTGACGGGCTCGCTAGGGACGCTGCTGCACTGGTCAATTGCAATGGTACGACACTCGACGCCGCCGAGACCGCCACCGCGCCCGCCGCTGCCGCCGCAGCTGTCATGGATCCATGTCGTACAGTCCGCGGCAGCTGTCGTCGTAGTGACCATAGCGGCGATGGCGGCCATGACTGCAGGGCCGCTGTCGCCGCCGCCGCCGTCGTCAATGCCGGTGCTGACGCAGCGGTTTTTGATACAGAAGGTGCTGGGGGCCCCCCAACCGCGGTGCAACCGTACTGGGCCTACGAGGGGATTAGGGGGATGAGGATGAGAGCGAGGAGGAGAAGGGGCTGAGAAAGGGTGGGTTAAGAGGAGGGCGGTGAGGAGGAGGAGGAGGAGGAGCGGTCTACAGGATCCGAGGCGAGGTTCTCTCTCGGAGCCTAAGCCAAGGTATGTGAACGGCTAAGGTTTGCTTGCGTGTCGTTGTCCTTGTGTGATTGCTCTTATTGAGGTTCACGGAAAGGTTACAAGTAGCGCCAAAGCAACATTACAGGCCGTGCGATTTGGGTCGTGCAATAGATGGCTTGGCAGGCGGACGTGTGCCGGCGGCTTCCGTAAATACATTGGCGAGCCTTTGTTGGAGGAGGAGGAGGAGGAGGAACAGGTGCAACGTCGATATAATACGGATTGGCAGATTGGCCCAAATGCGAGATGTGCCTTCTCCTTCGTGGCTTTAAATAAAATCGATACACTTGCTTATTCCATTATTGTAACAGCCCATGTAGCAAAAGTCCACAGAGAACAAGCTCTCTCCCGGCGTGAAGTACAACAGCAGCAGCAGCGAGCAGCGGCCCTTTCCGTACCGTTCGGCTCAGGTAGCTGAACGCTGCTGCTGGCGACCTGATAGCTAAGAAGTAGGCTCCATGCAAGCGACGGCGTCTACACTTGGTCCGCAAGCTTGCTGCGGCTGTGAGCGCGGGGGGAGGTAAAACCAGCGGCGCTGTCTGCGTGCCGACGGCGATGCCATCGGGAGCAGCAAAACTGCACGGATCAAAAGCGAATGGTTATATAGAGATGTCGACTGAACTTCCACAGAGATCAGAAGGTGATGTGATGACGCCACGGCAAGCGAACCCACCAATCCCTCGCACGACCAAACTTGGCAAACACGCGAAGCGCGCGCACCGCTTGGCTTACCAAAGCATCAAGAACACGCTCCTTATCGCCCTGCACCCATCAACCTATCTGCTGCGACCGCAGCGCCGCACGGCAAGCGGCCTGCTGACCACGGATGGATGGAATGAAGATCTTTTGCGATAGTGGATATGCAGAGTCTACGTTACTAATTAAATTGCAAGAGTCGCAACCGTTGCTGTCTGCCGATTTGAGCTCTTGCTTGATTACACGACAATACCTACGTATCTTTCGAAGAAAGCATTTCCAGGACAAGGTACATCCTCACGCGAACAGCATAACGTAACCACTACTTGTCTAACTCTGCTGCAAGGCATGGATCTCAGCGGCAACGACCTAATGCGGGCCTTATGCTGTTAATACCAATAGACGCGTTTTTGATTCACACCCATCTTTTATTATAACATATAAGATACACCTTATTATGTATCACTTTTTCGGCATCGTCCTGATGGAGTCTTGAATATCGATGCCCCTAAATTGAATTTGTTTTTCTTTAGGATGCCACGTCCATCACGAATAGTTTTATGCATAACACTTTACATTTTGTATGCGTTGATTTGTTAGATGGTCGAAGGGCTTCCTGTTAGGTGGTTTTTCACGTGCAAGAAGTGCCGGTATCGTTCGGATTTGTGTAACCCCTTTCTCATAGCAGACAGTTGAAGGCCTCTGACGGCCTTACTAGCACGACGCAGCATGGCGCAGTGCTTCTGCATCCAACGGTTGCTTTGCTTACGTTACAAGCCGTGAGTCGTCGCCGCGGCAGCCGCCTTTGTGATATGCCTCCGGCACCACTGGCCAGCCCACGATTGTTTGCCAAATCACACAGCTCGTCCACCATACGCTTAAGCAGCTATCCATCCTTCTGTTTTCTCTTAGTCTCCAGCTCAGGTCCGCATCCCCAACTTCCAAACGCCGCTCGCACCCACTTCCCATGGAGCGCTTACCCTGGATTTTCTACACAGCCCCATCATAGCACCCGCGACAGCTGCCATGCCATCCTGCCCAATGGCAGCACCGCCTCGACATCCTTGGACACGAATGCCGGTGGTGCGTACGGCAGCAAAGACGTGACCAAAACAGCAGTAGCAGCAGCACCAGCTGTACCAGCAGCAAGCCAAGGTGCCAGCACGGCTACAGCCGCCACGAATTGTGGTTTTCCTGGCAACGACAACGGACGTGACAGCGACATTAAAACTGTACAATTGGATGGCGATTTGTACTGCAGCCGCCTAGCGGGCTTGTACGGCATGACAGATGACGAGCTTCTTGAGCTTTTATTTCAGGTAAAGCTTTCGTGTTATTTCTTGGCGTCCCAGTCATATTATTGGCAGGCAGGTCTCGGGTTTTGAAGTAATGTGCTTTTGAACGTTCTGATAGGTTATTTTAGATGCATTTACATGAAGTACGACAGGTCTGTTGGAGCATGTCGTGCACGGGCTTCGTGTTTGGGGCTACGTGGTTGGGGCCAAGGCGGGGAGGATTTGGTCAGTATCCGTCTTCCTCGTTCCCTTTCCCCTTTCACCTAGCCCCCCTACCTCCTACCTCCCCTCCCCTACCTCCCCTCCCCTCCGTGGTTCGTCGTTCCCTCCCTCCAGTTCCCGTTCCCCCCTCTTGGGCCGTTGCGGCGGTATTGACACTTTACACGTTTTGCATCTCTCCTCTCCATCCGTCCCCTCTCAACTCGTACCTCTCGCTCACACCCCCTCCCCCACGCCCCTTCCCTTTCCTCTTCACCCCAATACATACATACATATATATATATATATCGGGGTTTTAGCTCAGTGGTAGAGCGCGCGCTTTGCATGCGTGAGGTCACCGGTTCGAACCCGGTAAGCTCCAATACTATTACTAGGGTTTGGCACCACTGGTAAGGCGCGACCATTGCCCCCGGGAGATCCCGGGATCGATACCCCTTAGGGTCAAAAGTCCTTCCGATGGTGGAAGGCATTGCGCCCCTAGTTGATGGACGGTGGTGACCTGGGATAAAGTTAACCTGCGAGCCGACCAGGAATGGAGTTGCGCCGCTGTCGACCCGGCAGATTCCGTTGGATGCTGGTGGTGAGTGCGGAACCTGAGCGATCCACTGAGAAGTTGACTAGGGTGACTGGATGAGGGTGCCCCGAAATACCGGGGAAGGCAGGGTTTCGCAGGGTAGCTGCCACGGGCGAAGATACACCCCCCTGTTTCACACATCATACATACATACATGCATACGCACTTACGTACGTACAAAACCCACCTTCCGGGTGAGATGTAGGCTGCGGGTCTTCAGGCTCTCCAGTTCGCTCCCGCCCTGTCGTACATGGCCGTATCCCTCCGCTACATGCAAGTAAGGTGGGGGAGGGGTTGGGGGGGGGCCCGCGAAGTGAGTCGGGCTGTGCGGGGATCAGGGACACAAAAGGGACAACTGCAGACGCCAAAAGCTGAGTGAGTGGTTGCCTGGTAGTGGAGGCTTGTGTGGATGGGCACGGAGAGTCTTGGGGCCAGAGTTCGGGTGTGTTTTTATCTCTCCGCAGCTCTTGCCGTACAAGTACGGCAGGCGCACTGGGGCTTTTGAGATTTCTGGGATTTCCGTCATCTTCACGTTGCCGTACCTCCTAACGGATTCCTATTCTCCTGCCTCAACGATCCTGGTACGAACAACCGATGTGGTGCTGAAGTCCCGCCCTGCCCTGCCCTCCCGCCCTCCCCGCCCCGCATCCGTAATCCCGCCAAGTAAAGGTCACCCCGGACAATCTGGCTGCATGGGTGTCACTACTGGTGGACATGCAGGTGTGTATGTATGTATGTATGCATGTATGCATGCGCGTATAATAATTCCTATAATATGTGGACCCGCACCCACTTCCCCCGGTCCCCAGGTCCGGTCCCCGGCTGCCGTACTGGCGTCGTGTCCGGCATTCCTCATGGTTCCCCTGACCCATACGGTACGGATGTACGAGAAGGGTTGTGCACGAGGGGAAGGACGCAGTACATTTGGTGCGTATGCATGTATGTATGTATGTATGTGTGTGTGCGTGACGGTGGTTGTTACAGTTCACTACCCCGTGTGTATTCTCGTAAGTCTGTGATTCTTCTCTGTTTTTGATATGTATGTTTGTTTGTATGTCTGTTTCCTACTCCCGCTCCAGGGAACAGTCCCGGGAGGCCCAGGGGTTCCGCACAGCTCCGAAACCCCAGCAGCTCCCTCACCCTGCTAAACCCCCCTCTCCTCTCCCTCACCTTTCCCCGCGCCCTCAACCCCCTTCCCTCCACGACTGAACCCCCAGGACACGACGACCACTCATAACATCGGCATGTACGACATCAATACCAACACGAACGCGGCCACTGGGGGTGGGGCTGGAGCCGGGGATGAGGTTAAGGACAACGGTGAAAATGACAATGGGAGCGGCACCAGGGGCTCCGAAACCGGTTTCGTGTACGGCGGTCCGGAGTACGGCACTGCCGTTCGTCGCTTTGTTGGCCACCTGCGTGACACGCTGTTAATGGACGAGCAAGATGTGTTTGGGCTGCTGGCCAGGTGGGCCTTACGTGTGTGTGTGTGCGTATATGGGTTTATTTGGGGTGTTGGGTTTGGAGGCGTGTTGGAGTTTTAGAGCTTTATCAACATGTATGTATGTCCTGGTCAGTACAAAAGTACATGGTTTTCGTCGGTGCTCTCGACACCTCTGCTCGCGTGCGCCATCCCCCCATCAGCTCTAACTGCTTCTAGCGCTCGGGAGCTCTCGACCTGCTTCCTCCCTTGCCGGCTGGACCTGGCAGCAGCTAGTGGCAGCAACTCGTTTCGCAACCCAGCTAGCTGGCCACGTCGCCTCCACGGTCACTGCTCGAGCCATCATCGGTCGGCCAGTAAATATATTCCCGATGCAGCATTTGTCTCTTCTTGTCCGGGACTATCCGTGTCTATTTCTGGTTTTCATCTGCAATCTCAACCGTCAGCGGTTTGCCGTACTCACGCCCCCATGCCCCCCTTCCCATTGGTCTTTACCTCCCATACGCGCCCCATCCACCCCCACCCCCAATAGGTCGCCCCCCCTGGCGTTGATTCCGCCCAACCAGATAGATGACGTCATCATCTATCTGGCCCTGGTCATTAAGGGAGCAGGACGAGGGCACAGATATGTGGAGGGGGAAACGGAGGGGGAGGGCGGGGGAAGAGGAGGAGGAGGAAGAAGGGCGGCGGCGGCAGGGTCCCTGCCGTACGGACCGCCGTACCAGTCGGTGCAGCTTCCGGAGGAAGTCGAGCTGGACTTGGCACTGTACCGCTTCCTTCGCCGCGCGCCGTCCATATTGGCCATGACGCGGGGGCAGTTGTCGTACGTCCTGGAGCAACTGTCATACCACGGCGGTCTGGGCTATGTGGACATGTGCCGGCTGCTGTGCGCGGTCCCTGAGCTGCTGCCGGCAGTTGCGGCAGCGGCAGCTGCAGAAGCGGCCGTACATGCTAGTACGGCAATGAGTACGGTACCGTTGGCGGTCTCGCAGGATGCTGAATTTAATACTACGTGTGGTTCGGTGCCGGTCAGTTTCGAGCACTGGAATGATCACCGGTCGGACGTCCCAACTGGGTTTCACGGGCCTTATGGGGATCCTGAAGTTCACGATAACGGGAAGGGGGCCTTATTGCACATGTCTCTATACAATTACTTACTTTCAATGGACGGGTATCGCGGATTCAGCCGTACATGTCGTACGAACGTCCGGATTCGGGATCCAGGGATGGAGATTCGCAGGCAAGTGGATGCGGCGCGACGGAGTGCCGAAGCTGCAGCGGCGACGTTTGGCGATGCAGAAAGCGCCGCTTCAGGATTGCCAACCTGGATCCGGTGACGGCGACGGCGACGGTGGTGCAGACGGGTGGTGGGGTGGTGATTGACAGGATGCCGTGTTTTGGGGGGGGGGAGGAAGTGCTGCTTTTTCTGAAGGCCGAAGGGGGAAAAAGCCGTACGTACGGAAGATAACGAGCATACGACAGGTGGGGGGCCCTCTAGGGCTTCCACATCGTTACCGTGTTCATGACGTTTTGAGGGGAGGTCGTTATTCGGTCGGTGTATGGCATGCAGCATGTTCGGACCCAATCCTTTTGCTGAGGGTTGCGCCCATTTTGTGTAACACGAATTCATTCATTAGGTCATGCTTGCATGTTTGCATCTATGTAAAATACTTGCTGATATTTATGTATGATATGTTGGTATTTATGTAAATTGTACATTTGTGTGCGTATGTATATGTGCCTACAGGCTTTTGTTGATGTGCTTGCCGTTAGCAGTGCCGTTTTGACCGGTTGGCTTGCTGCTGATCTGAGTACGTCGGACAGGTGTATGTATGTCATTGTATGTACGTTTGTATGCACGTATGTATATATGTATGTATGTGGGTTTGCTAGGATATCCTTTTCCAGGTGTTGAGGGAACTTGGGAGCCATGAGTGAATGGGCGCTGGTAAGGTATTGGTGGTGGGGGTGGTTGGGGTGGGGGTGGGGGTGATGGGTAGACCTGGACAGGCGGATGCTGGGGGGAATCTGAATGGGTGTTCCTGCTAGCAGGGGTGTGTTGGATGAGTGAAGACAGTAAGGTAGGTAGGTAGGTAGGTAGGTACGCAGGTAGGTAGGTAGGTAGGTAGGTGAGTACACAGGCCGGCCTGGCTTGGTGAGTGCGGTGGTGGGGGCAGAGTGCGGAGGGTTGATGGTGGGGGCAAGGAGGGGAGATGGTGGAGAAAGAAAGAGTACACATCCACCCACCTCGCCACACAGGAACCGTTGCTACCGGACTAGGAGCTACCAACCAGCCGCCTCACAACACATCACACACCACGACACCACATCGCAGCCATCCCACTACTATTCCACAGGGGACCGACCCCTGCCTGCTGTTATTGTGGTAATGCTAGTACTGGTAGCAGGACACCTATAACTGGTAATAATCAGGCAGCGCTACCGACAGTTTGTTCTCCTCCCCCCTTTCCAACCGCCCGAGGGGCAAACGGTTGCAGCGGTTGGAGATGGCGCCCACAGCGGAGTGTCGCCCTTCACGTTCCTCGACACGTACGTGCTTCAGTACATGACGGCATGCGCTCGCGCCGCCGCCGCGGACCCACGACCTTTACCCTTGACCGACTTGCAGTTGCGAACGAACCCAAAACCAACCAACAAACCAAAAAGCGGCCCATTAGCCAATTGAAATGGGCTCCTAAAATCCGAACGCTCGCACGACACGACATCATCATGCAGCTTTTAACCTTTTAATACTTGAAGTAAGCAATTGTAAGCGGGGTGGATAGCAATGCACACCCACACAAGTGACAAAACAGGATAGTCAAAACAATCCGCTCTTGGAAAAGCAAAAGACGCAGACTGACTTAGAGCTTGTATAACGCATTTGGGATGCGAAGATCGGTCTGATTGACCAAACTCCATCATAGAGAGCTCCCTGTCACGGCCACTGCCAAACCCTGTTCCCGCGCGCCCGAGACCCGACCACGTCTGGATGTTCAAGGTCTCCATCTTAGATTTCCAGCGCAGTGCAGTACAGTGTACGGCAGTCCGTTATGGCCTAACGGCCCTACCCTGGGGTATTCCCTCGGGGTCTGGGGCTCGCTGTAATACCTACTACGACTACTACTACTACTACTGCTACTACTACTACTACTACTACTACTATTACGTCAAGCCGCCTGACCTGCACAAACAGTGGACCCGATTTCTCGTTATTAACGACTGTAACCGTCACCCATCAAGTTCACTACTATACCGTACAGGTAAACTGCACTCTTCTTTCCTCGTAGCTTCTTCACGCATCTTATTAACAAGAGCATCCTTCACACATCACAACAAAAGGCGTTGTTACGTATCCAACGTTATTGCCATCAGCAGAACCATCACCATCAGCATCATCCTCAGGATGGAGCATCGTCGTCATTATTAATGAACTTGCAATTGTTTCGGCCATTATGATCATCATCATCATCATCATTACCATTATCATTACCATCATCATCAGTATTTATCAGCACGAAATCTTATCATCGCACGTAGCACGCATTCCATCAACCTTTTTAACCAACAAGTAACTTCCGGGGGAGAAGGGAGAAAGAGAGAGTAACACCTGTTATGCGTGTGTACACACAGGCGCATTTTCACATGTGCATACACACTAACCGCACCTCAATCGCACATTCACTCATCACTGCGAACCTTATCCGTATATACACCCATTTCGATCACTAATCACTTAAGCAGAGCCGGTCCGGCACCACGCAGCTAGGCATATCATTACACCTGTATAAAACGTACGAAGCACATGCACACATTAAAAACCTAAGAAGTAGCGGAAGTAGCGGTATGACCCTCATCACGATCTCATATTCTTGCTGCTCCTGCTGCATGCTGCCCCGCCGTTTCTTCCTCAGCGGTAGAATCAAATAAAGTAACGCGCTAATAAATTTTGTGTATGCATGTATCCATGTATGCATGTATACATAACACACGCAACATAGGCAGATAGACGCGCTTAACAAGCGCTCTTGCAGCGCCGCGAGATGGCCTTTTACTTGGCCAGCAGTTACCACTTATTGCATTGCATGGTTGATATTCCTGGAGACCTTGCTCACGCAAGATCTGGGGGTTAAGTAAACCCCAGATCATCAACTGAACCCCGGACAGCAGGTCCATTGCAGCTGCAACATACATTCATACATACATACATTAGGCAGGCGGCTGGCAGAGGTTAAGGCCTGACTTCTGCTCCCAGTTGACCCAGTCGACCCGGGTTCAAATCCGCCTGCCGGCTCCTCGGGTGTTTGAGGAGTGATGAAATGGGAGGTGGCCCCCCATCTTATGGACGGTGTAGGACGTGATAATATCAACTTGCGAGCTGACCAGGAACTAAGTTGATGCGCCGTTGATCCGCTAGATTTGGTTGGATGCTGGTGGTGAGTTGCCGAACTCAACGAATACATTCTGAAGTCGGATGGGGTGACGGATTAGGGTGCCCCTCTAGCAGGGGAGAGCAGGGACTGCCCCGGGAAAGGGGGCCGCTGGCGAAGTTAACCACCCTGTAACAACATACATACATACATATATAAGGTTTGGCACTACTGGTAAGGCGCGACCATTGCCCCCGGGAGATCCCGGGATCGATACCCATTAGGGTCAAAGTCCTTCCGATGGTGGAAGGCATTGCGCCCCTAGTTGATGGACGGTGGTGACCTGGGAGAAAGTTAACCTGCGAGCCGACCAGGAACGGAGTTGGGCCGCTGTGACCCGGCAGATTCCGTTGGATGCTGGTGGTGAGTGCGGAACCTGAGCGATCCACTGAGAAGCTGACTATGGTGATTGGATGAGGGTGCCCCGAAATACCGGGGAAGGCAGGATTTCGCAGGGTAGCTGCCACGGGCGAAGATATACCCCCCTGTTTCACACATCATACACACAGGATGGTAGCATGCCAGTTCCCGATTGATCACCGGAAAGGTCCTCGGCGTAGCACTTATCATAACAAGTTCACGCTGGCTGGTAAGTGCCTTTGTTCCACTCGAAAGATACGAGACACCCGGAAGGCTCGAGGTGGGTCCAAAGCATCATGTATAGCGGCGCATGCATGGCGTGATCACGCCAGTCATTTGTCATCATGATGACTGACACGAGCAGTGTCAGGAAAAACATCATATCAACTGCTGCTGCCAGTAAAGTGAGCAAGGGCAGGCAGGAGAGGGAGAAGCAAGGAACGTACGCACAAGCTGATGTGGCCGCGACGACCTTTCTTATGCGGAGGAGTGAAGCAAGCGCCGTACACTACGGCGTGTGCACCTATAAGAAATGTATTCAGACACACTAATAACTCGACATACAGCAGGCATTTATATACTGCTCAATACACACAGGCGAACATATGTTAACCCCAGTATATATATTCCGTATTATATGACTCCAGCCAGACAGGTAGATAGAGGAGGGCAACATGTAACAGACACAAAATCTTTTTGCCCCATCCGCTTTATGACAAGAGTACGCACAATTTTTAAGTTTTCTTAATCATTTGAAGCTAAGGGCATGCGAGAGAACGAAAAAACAAACGTCGCTAGTGAAGTGCTTCATTAGTCAGCCCTACGTAGTAAGCCCCTCGCATCGCCACCCTGGCCCCGCTCTGCATGCTTGCCTTACCGAACCTCGCTCATCCTCTGCACACGCTCATCAAGGTTTACTAGCTGTCGTACAGTATGGTGCGCTTATCCTCCCACTTGACGAGATAACCTCTCCTGTATAGCAGCTGTATGTAAATGCTGCTACGGCACACATACCGTCGATGAACACGCGCTCATAACACGGAGCTCCGCCAGCATCTATAGAGGCGTTTCCAGCGACCAGCTACCACTAGTAATGCAGCACATTCTGCCTCCCTTCTCCTCTCCCCTCCTCACCCTACAAAGCCACACAGCAGCCAGCCAGCTCATCTCTCTCTCTCTCTTCAATTACCCAATTGTACATATTAACGCCCTTACATTTTTCGTCATTATTAAAACATCAAGATAGACTCTGCCGCTTGCTCAGTGCGCAGTTAATGGTGAAAATAATAAGAACGTGGGCGGCTCTGCGCGGCGGAGCTAGCCCGTCGTCGATCGATACATTTTTTATGGTCTTTAGACAACAACGGTACAACGGATAGGACCGAGAAATAGGTCGTATATCGAATTATGGTATAGAGGGAAAAAGCAGAGGGAAGGATTAACGGTGGCAGCTTTGTATCATTTTTTAACGTGTGCCGGCGGCAGCAGAAGAGAAACAATAACTGATAGGCTGCGCTCGTGTGACAGATTGGAAGATTGTACAGGCCGGCTCACCGGTTGGTCAGCTAATTGGTTCATCCGATGTCACGGTCAGCTGGCTGGCTGGCTGGCTGGCTGGCTAGGTGATGATATAGGTGCTAGCTGAGGTCGGCGGTTGGCGCCTCATTAGGATCACCGGCTGGCTGCCACTGGTTCCGATGAACCATCGGACAGCCGCCACAGCCAAGTCTGCATCAGGCCCTTGCCCTTTACCTGTTAACCGTACACACACGTGAGATGAACCCACAAACAGACAGACAGAGAGACAGACATACAAACACACGTGCGGACAGCAGTCAGTCAGGCCGTCAGGCAGACAATCGGAGGCAAGGGTGAGCGGGAGTAGAGCGCAAATAAGAGTAACGGCAATAGCTGCGAGCTCAGTTAGGTGTGTGACGAGCTATGTTGAAAAGTAGGCGGGTTATAAATGGGCTGAATTTGGGACCTGGTTGCGCTGCTTGAGGTGGTATGTGGACCATACAAGCAAGGCATTAGTCTGAATGTATGTAATAAAGAATTACAATAATTGAAGTACGCCGGGCGCAGTAGTTTGGCGCATATTATAAGGGGGCGGGGAACTGAAGAGCAGTTTGGCCCAGGGGTATGTATGTCCCCCTTCTTAGCATTCCCGGGGAGGCAGATAGTTGTTTGAGCGAGGGTTATATCATGTGACATCATTCGTCACTTTCAGGACTTGACATGTTCCAATGATTATTGATTGCGGCAGCAGATTCCGCGTTGTGGTGGGCGTATCTGTAGTGTCCTGGGCATATCACGTGATCTGCATCCGCCGATCGGTACTTTTCTGAAGTCGTGGTATGATAACAGTATCTGTTGGCAGAGCTCTCGTTGTTGCTTGTTCGGTTGTTGCACCGAGCTTGCGAAGGAGGCAGGGGTTTCATGGCCTTGGGAATGGTGCCCGTGCCCCCTAGCTAGCTAAGGTGGGATTTTTGAAGTGGTGCAGCGCAGTGTCCATCCAGCTTTGTTCAGCTCCTCCTTCAAGCGCTCGTGCTGTTCTGCTTGTAATTCTGTTCATGCAAATTTCTTCCCGGTATGTTGGAGGTGATAACTGTAACCTAATTTAACGATTACGGCATGCGCACATGCATATGCAGTGTGACGACGGAGCTGGAATGGATGCCGAGCGCACGATGCTTATGTGAACACATATATGTGAACACATATATGTGAACACATACACCATATGTAGGCGGCGCACCCGCTCCCCTCCATGCACTTATTTAGGTACGCGCGCACGCGCCCACCTCGATGCCCCCCGTCGCTGTCCAGCCACCGCGTGCCGTAGGGGTACCCGTTGCCACAGGCGCTGCGGGGCCTCCTCCACCGACGCCTCCATCATCACGTGCGCTTCCGCGGGGCGCGACGTCTCCACCATGCTGCTCTTCCTCCTCCTCCTTCTCCTCCTTCTCCTCCTTCTCCTCCTTCTCCTCCTTCTCTTCCTTCTCCTCCTTCTTCTCCTCCTTCTCCTCCTTCTCCTCCTTCTCCTCCTCCTTCTCCTCCTCCTTCTCCACCTCGCTAACGTCATCGTCGTTATCGTCGTCGTGGCCGTCGGCCCTCAGCAGCTGCCGCGTGGCGTCGCTGACGTGTATTGCCCCCGCCTCTCCCGTGCTCTCCATGCGGGCGGCCGTGTTTACAGTGTCCCCAAACAGACAGAACCTCGGCATGCGTGTTCCCACCACTCCGCTGACCACGGGGCCGCTGTGTATGCCCACGCGCACCTGCACCGGCTCGCCCGTGGTGGGCTGCGAGACGGCAGAGGCAGCGACCAGCATGGCCTGCACACCACCGGGTGGAATCCCCATTCTCAGTTCTAGTCGCAGCTCTCTGTGTTTTTGACTGAGTCATTACGTCAACAGGGAAGGAGCAAGATTGTCCAGTAAATTAAATAGGGTCTAGTTTACAGGGAAGGAGCAAGGGGGCCGCAGCTTGCAGTCGACAGGAAATTACAGTAAGTCACAAATTGGAGGATGAAGGCTTCTAACGTAGCGAAACGATTAACATCCGGCCAGCCCACAGGCTTCCCATGCTACCGTGGGCTTGAAAGGAGGGGCCCCAAACGGGCAGCCTCTCTTCGCCCTCATCTTCTTCCCCCCATCAGGCTCCCCCCTTGCTGGGAGGCCCATACCTCCTCCGTCCATTCCCCCACCTTTGCGAACTCAAACACCCGCCGCGCGTGGTGCGGGTCGGGTGGCTGGTCTCGGCTGCTGCGGTCCCGCACCACCACCATGCCGTCGTCGTCGTAGCAGAACAGGCCCCCAGCCACGAAGTAGCAGTCACCGATGGTCTCAATCTGGATTGGCAGTGAGGAGGAGAGGGGAAAGGCGTTTCTGTTGAGCTTAAGTTAATAAACCGCCTCATGCTGGACGTCGCTCATGAGCATCCGGGGCATACCGCCGGAAGGCGGAACGGAACAGAGGGCTTGCTGGTAGCTGGTGACTGTTTAGGTGCGGAAGGGGATGGAGTAGTGAAGAATGGAATTAGAAGACTACTACAAGCGCCTTCTCCGTAATATTAAAAGTCCTGAAGCTAGGCTTACTTTTATGGGTATGTTGCGCCGTCGATAGCTGCCCTGGCACCGCCAGCAATGTCATGGGATTTTAGGAAAGAGCTATGTATGTATGTATGTATGTATGTACGTATGTATGTATGTATGACGTTGATTACACTGTGGGCTGAAAAGCCGGGGGCCCAGGGCCGAAGCACAGCGCGGGGGGCGGGTGCATACGGCTGGTTAGTCTCATGCACTCACATGTATGTATGTATGTATGTATGTATGTATGTATGTATGTATGTATGTATGTATGTATGTATGTATGTATGTATGTATGTATGTATGTATGTATGTATGTATGTATGTATGTATGTATGTATGTATGTATGTATGTATGTATGTATGTATGTATGTATGTATGTATGTATGTATGTATGTATGTATGTATGTATGTATGTATGTATGTATGTATGTATGTATGTATGTATGTATGTATGTATGTATGTATGTATGTATGTATGTATGTTGTTACAGGGTGGTTAACTTCGCCAGCGGCCCCCTTTCCCGGGGCAGTCCCTGCTCTCCCCTGCTAGAGGGGCACCCTAATCCGTCACCCCATCCGACTTCAGAATGTATTCGTTGGGTTCGGCAACTCACCACCAGCATCCAACCAAATCTAGCGGATCAACGGCGCATCAACTTAGTTCCTGGTCAGCTCGCAAGTTGATATTATCACGTCCTACACCGTCCATATGATGGGGGGCCACCTCCCATTTCATCACTCCTCAAACACCCGAGGAGCTGGCAGGCGGATTTGAACCCGGGTCGACTGGATCGACTGGGAGCAGAAGTCAGGCCTTAACTTCTGCCAGCCGCCTGCCTATGGCCTCAAACACCCGAGGAGCCGGCAGGCGGATTTGAACCCGGGTCGACTGGGTCGACTGGGAGCAGAAGTCAGGCCTTAACCTCTGCCAGCCGCCTATGTATGTATGTATGTATGTATGTATGTATGTATGTATGTATGTATGTATGTATGTATGTATGTATGTATGTATGTATGTATGTATGTATGTATGTATGTATGTATGTATGTATGTATGTATGTATGTATGTATGTATGTATGTATGTATGTATGTATGTATGTATGTATGTATGTACGTGCATATGTATGTAGATTACGTGTATAATGTGTCTAGGTAGCTCCAGAATGGGTGTACCGCAATTCAGCTGTTTCATGCAGTTGGTGACGCACAGAAATGCACGTGTACCTGCCTTGTGTACGCCGTACGTGCCCAGCAGCGCGTCCCAACGGCTGAACAATTCATTGAGCATCCGCATCACTTGGAAGGGCTGAACCTCCTTGCATAGAGGCGTGAAGCCTGTGGGTTCAGGAGGGTGGTTGCGATGGGTGAGTGAACCCAAATTAATAAAAGTACAATAAATAATAAAATCTTCCGTACATGTGTACACGACATGCGTATGGATGAGGGTGGGGAAGGGTTGTTGGTTGGGGGTGGTGGAGATGCTAGCTACGTATGTGCACGATCTGGAGAGGCCCGTGCAATACATACGACATGTTCCACCGGGCGCCCGCTGCGTTCCCTTACCACCACCGCTGCCGCTGTAACGTACCCTTTATATCGGCGAACAGCAGTGTCACCTGTTGGGGGGTTAATAGGGGGGGAGGGTAATAAGGGGGCGGAGTACTGTGACGGCGATAGAGGTGCATGTGGGGTGTGGGTTGTGGGGTCATATGTGTCATGATGTCCTTGGCGTATAAGGTAATATATCTTAGCATGTATATTAACATATTGTAATATATATACTGACTGACTAATGTTGACGTATGTGTGGTCAACTTGCGAAGATACAACAAACAGATGTCATGTTGACATGCAACTTGGGAAAGGGCGGGGGTGAAACAGCGAGGCGGACAGGCAGCAGACGTATGCAGACAGCTGCACAGACAGATAGACAGACAGACAAATAGACAGACAGACAGACAGAAGAGAGGTACGTAGAAGCAGCAAGTGCTGCAATACGGAGACGCACACGAACACACACGTAATGTGCACATTATTGCCTTGCTTTAATCACTCTCGCGCCATGGAGGCAGGGTACAAGGGCGGCTTTCGATACCCCCTGATCCGCACACCCGAGGGCGCTAGTTCCGACTATGCCCAACTGGCCACAACACGTGGATGCGCGCGTACATACACAGGCATCACAAGTAAAAGCGACAACGCACAGACATACACAAATACGTACACACCCATGCACCCATGCAGCCATGCAGCAAATGTCCAATTAACCTACAAAAGCGAGCCAATCCGCAAGTTGGCCAGTAAGCTGGCCGCACACGCCGTACATACCTGCTCATGCCACGTGGCAAGGGAGCTGCAATCTGTAGCCAGCAACTGGTGCTGTAGCCGGAAGCCATTGAGCAGGGGTTTACGGCCGTTCTGCCGACCACCACCACCGCCAACTCTTCGGGGATTCGGAGAGTTCGGCGGCACCGCGGCTAGTGTGGCGATTTGACGAGTCCACCTAATGCACAATCAACAATGATGCAAGCATAAGGTGGTAGGGCGCTGCAAGTTAGAAGTAAGGTGCACCCTACATGCGCACGTGCGCATGTAAAATGGCAACCTGTTGGCAATGAACGTTTAAGGCTAGGCCCTTGGGCCCTTGGGCTCCCTCGGGCTCGTATGGGCCCCTAGGTGACACCTTTGGAAAGTAACACAACTCCACAAGGTGTAATACACACTGAAGTATACCGTGATACACCCCACAATTCCCTCCACTGCCTCTTCAGTCTTCCCTCTCCTGCCACTGCCTCTCCTATCTGTCTCACCACGATACCAGCCAGAAGGGCTCCCCAGCCAGGAGGGCTCTGGAACCTGCGACCGCTGCTCCTAGCAGCCGCACCTATCGCCTGACTGCTCCCCGCGCAGCACATTTGCAATGCATCAAGTTCCCCCCTTTCCTCTCTTTTTCGGGCCCGCCAGCCCCCGGCCCACCACCACCACCACTACCGCCAGCTTTCTGTCCACCCTCTCACGGTTAATCAGCTCACTCTTCCGTGATGTGTTGCAGGATATGTCGGGGAAAGAGCTGCTCCAGCAGGCGGTGTTCGGTCTCCATGGCCAGGGCCACTCGTCGCTCCGCAACCACCTTGGCGGTGACGTCATGCTGGTGTCGTACAGATGGAGGGACAGAAAATGGAAGAAGATGCATGGGCAAGTAATTGTACGGCAGAGGAAAAGGATGGTCATTGCAGCCGGGGCCGTGGTGGGAGAGGAGGGGGCGTGAGGTCGTGTAATGGTGGGTGGATGAGGTGGTTGTATGGGGAAAGGGGAAATGGGTGGCCACAACTATACCGAGGCAAGCAATACTGAAGTACCCCAAGTAACCTTCACACATACATACATATTTACATAAGCACACATGTACACACAAATATATAAATACACACATACATACACCGTCCGTCTTACCTGCACTAGTACCATCACGTGTTCACCGGTCAATGGGTCCACGGCTCGGGTGGCCCACACCTCGTGCCAGTGCTCTTCCGCCGCCGCAGCCGCCTTCCCTGTCTCCGCCTCCGCTTCCACCACTGCCGCCACGTTGTGCGCGATGTAAGGTACCCCCTCGCCGCTGCCGCCGCCGCCATCATTGCCCTCTAACTCCGCCGTCGACCCCGTGTCGCTCAACTGGTCAGCACTCCACGACAAGACCGCTATGGGAACGCAGCCGTTTATCGCCGCCACTTCTGTCGTCGGCAGCGGTGGCGGCGCCGCCGCCACTGGGGGCGACAGCCCCTCGCCACCGCGACTCTCGCCGCTTGATGTCGCCTCTGCCGTTGCTGGCCCAGCCTCTCCTGCGCCTGCCACCGCTGCACCCTTTGACGGGTTGCCACCAGCCAGCCCTTTAGCAACAGCGCTTCTGCAGCTGCTGGGTGGGTGTGATAAGCCGGCCGCCGTTGCCGCCGGCAGTGGCACCACTGCGGGCCCAGGGAAGGGTCCTGGAGCCCGTGATATGGATACTGGCTGAAGAGAGTGAACCGGCGGCGGAGCCGTTGTGGGCCCAAGTTCACGAGCAATCATGGATGCCGCTTTCGACACTCTTTCCAAGCAGGGCTCAGTCGCGTCCCCACGGCCGCCGCCGCCGCCTCCTTCACAGCCTCTATCCGCCTCCCTCTGTGTCCCCTCAACCGTAAAAAAACCCGAACATAGCACCCTGCGGTAGACTGCCTCGGCGTCCGTCGAGCTTTCGATTCCTGTCAGCTGCTGTGACACGCTGGCTGCGCCATGTCCGCCATCGCCGCCGACGCCGTTGCCGGAACGAGTGACTAGGTCAAGGTCGAGGTTGAGGTCGAGGTTCCCGCTTCGAGACCATGCCGATACTGCTGCCGCTGCCATCATTGTCGGCCTACCACCATCACCATTACCACTTCCATCCTCACCACCACCGTTGCCACCATTGCCATGTTTGCCGGCGCTTGTGGTGTCGTTACTGAGGGTGCACTCCGCCGTCACTGCCGCCGTCACCGCGACGTCTGTAATCAGCCTCGGCGTGGGTTCTTTGCCGCCGCCCATGGCTGCGGCTGCGGTGGAGGCAAGGCCCAGGTATGGAGACGGCACTGATGCCCCCTTTCCCGCGTCTTCACCAAGCCCCGCTACAGATGTTCGCAGAAGGCCAGACGCTGCTGGGGGATGCTGCTGGACGCGCACCGAGGGCAGCAACACGTCAGAAAGCTTGACAGCGGTGGAATCCAGGTTCTTCGGTTCGCCGC